AAAAATAATAAACAGATGTGTCTCATTTTAAATAGGCCTAAACAAACCAAGACGATAAATTAATTTCAGCCAGAAATTTACTGTTGCAATGATTAAACAAATGTCCAGGACTATCTAGTGAAATGGGATTAGATGTAATAAAACTGGGAGGTAAATGCTTAATAGAAGAATAGAAGAGGTAGAGAGATAAATGTCTTTAGAAACTGTACCCAAAAAATTGCATTTTGCCCATACTGGTGCCAGTTTCTCCAATCTACAACAAACTACAGAGAAGCAACTGAATTACTGTGCATCCGAACCCGTAATTGGTCAATAGTATGGTAATTGAAAAAATTATAATTAATAAATAAATAAAAAATAAAAAACAAGGAAAAATAAAATTAATGGTAAATCAAGAATTGAATGTTATAAAAAGACGGGAACTACTGACATTGGCAAATTAAAGGAAATGCAGCAAAATATTGAAAATACCATAATGTAAAGTTAGTTAGTGAAAAAGGAAGGCCCACCTCCTATATTTGATGAAATCAATATTGCATTGGCAGACATACGGTGGATGTGTGGAAAAATATGGCCTCTTGCCAACATTACCAGAAAATTGGTCAGGATTACTAGGGTTATGCTGACACATAAAATGAGTCATATCTCTCTAGAAGAGGAAACAACAAAAGGAAAAAAACTAGAACCAAAAGAGCAGATGAAAAAGACCCTGCAGATTATATAAATTCAATTGTTCAACCTAAAGGCATGATAAGCACATGATGGCACATAATGGGGCCCTTATTTTCACAGAACATAAAATTAAGGCCTCGTGACTGCATCGTGATCCCAAAAATAAATATTAATTAAATGTATTGAACACGCCTAGAGAAAAAACTGTATATAAGAGGATACACAAAAATATTCGAGAGATTGCTCTGCAGAGTTCTCTCAGGTTTTATTGTCTCTGAAAATAAAATCTCTTCTGGCATCAAAATCCCAAGACTCTGAGAAAGATTCTTCTCAATAGCGGCAGAAGCCACCACAAGCGCTCGAGGGTCATCATGAACTCGCTCACGGCATACAAAGATGGCCAGTCACGCACAATCCGGCGCTGTGGTACTTGCATGTCTGGCTTCTTAACGGAGCACGCCCTCTTCAACATCACTACCTCAGCAAGTGATGAGAACCATTTCTGAGGCAAGAGCCCTGTTCACCAGGTGCCTGTATGCTCATAAATGGAAAGTTTTCACGAATTGGTGCGACTCAAAAGAATATTCAGCTCAGAGACCTTCGCAGTAGACAGCGTGGCTGTATACATTTCCCCAATGTGTCAGCATAGCTGTACGCAACGCCGAGAGACCATCTCGAAAGGGAACGCCTCGGGTTACTGAACATACCAAGGGATGATTTATGAAATACATGTACTGTAATTCTAGGTAATAATGACTTATTCACAAATTGAGTTTGTAATAAATAAACAATTACGTGTTCAAAACAATACAAACAATAACAAAGAACAATTGCTGAAAAAAGTGCACTTGCACACTTAACACATTGTACAGTATACAGCTATGTGGGGAAAGGGGTAGTTTATGCCCTTTGACTTTTGAGAATATACCCAGTCTCCCTTGGCAACAGGGAGTCCTAGCAGATTAATAAGCCTAACAAAGAGATAATAGTTTGTTCTATATTCTTCTTAACATTTATCCTTGCAAGTATTTTTTAGCATTTGCTGTAATACTGTAAGGAAAAACCAAATTGTGGAATACAAAAAGTTTGTGCTTTTCCAAATACACATTAATAGCACACAAAATATATAATTTTCATACAATAAACTATATACAGCATGACATAAATATTTGTACAGTACACAGATCAAACTAATGTTTGATCTAATGTTCAGAAACATTTGTACAAATTTATTTTTCTATATTAATGTTGTTTAAAAAGCATTACAGTATAAGTTGTCTAGTTGTGTTTTCATGTTAATTATTTTAAAGATTGGAAACGATTGTTTGTAAAACTATCAAACTAAACATTAATTTGTTTCATAAATAATCCACTGTATTTTCAGGAACGTCTTATTTAATTTCTAAACAAGGCGATAAACAGCTAAAAATGACAATGGCGAGAGCGAAGCAAGCAGCTCCTTTTGAATCACTCTCGGGTCCCGGACCTCCTATAAGCTTTAAGGGAGGACCTACTATAAGCTTTAAGGGACCCCCCATAAAGGCCAAAAAAATGAACTTGGGGGGGTCCCCTGGTTTTTCAAAAAAAAAAAATATAATACTTGAAACATGAAACTAATGAAAATGAAAATTAAATGAAAAGTGTTGATTGCTGTAATAAATTTAGACCCGCTCATGTCACATCACAATTTTTAACATGTTTTTACAGCATTGCACATTATAACCAATCACACATGATTCTGTTGAGTTTATGAACACAATGGCCAATCAGAGGCGTCCACATTAGACATCGCTGAAACCTCAGAGTTTTTGGCGCGCGTGCTAAATGAATCTTGCAAATGTTTTTAATTAATTAATTTATTTATGGTATATGGTTGCTTGAAGTCTAGGTAGCGGCATTTGTCTGTCTTACAACTATAAAAACATTGTCCAATGTATTGGCAAAAAGAATAATTTGTCATTATAGCATGTACAACATTAACATGCTTTTTTTCATTTAAATTAAGTTGTGTATTTTTTTTCCTTCCTCAACAATTTGGCCTAATTGTAATGAAGTAAATGTTCTTGAAAAACACCACATTATGACCATACATACAATTATTTTGCATTGAGCTGTCCAGCCAACTAGGGTAGCATTCTTTGATTAGTGTTTATAATCTTTCAAGTTTGACAACTTTATTGCCTGTTTGATTGTGGGTACAAAGATTAAACTGTAAAAAGAGATGCTTTTAAGAGAGAAGATACCTGAAACTGCTAAGGCTGAGAAGGTTTTGACCTACAGTGTACAGCATCTGTTTATGTGAACGTGTCATAGATAAATATTTCTTAAACTAAACCGTCTCTGTTCATAATGCTTGCATGTGTGTCAACCTCAAACTAACACAAAGCACAGAATGAGCTGTAGAAGAGCTCCTCTGACTGAACACTTAAGTGTCAGCCATAAATTAAGAGGCCCATCAGGTCGTCACGTCAAAAGAAGATCCATTCTGTGTGTCTCAATCCATAGCTCTCAGAGACAGGAGGACAGTTACAGAGGCACAGGTGACTTCTTAAAAATCACTCTTTTGGCAAGGGGATGCGGCTTCATTTTAAAGCGGGAACTAGAAATCCTTTTGTTTAGTGTTGTGTTTATACAATACTAAAGTTGCATTCTGTCGTATATGGGATATTCCTGTTTGATATTCCTGACTTTTGACCATATAGATGTTCAATTGTTCGATGCTCAGAACATATACACAAAATGGCAGCTCTACCATTAGCTTTGCAAGTGTTAAATTGTCAAAAAAAGAAGTCAATTAGCAAACAATTGTGAGCATTAACAATGCAATAAAATGTTAGCATTTGTTTTGCATGTTTTTGATTAACAAAAAATGAGTATCTTTTTTCACATTCTTCCTCCTTCTCTCTGCAGAAATGTATGCTAAACATGTTCTGCACTGTAGGAACTTTGACTCACTAGCCACATGTTTACAGAGTTGTGAATTTAATTTATGGAAAAAAATAAATAAATTGAAGAAAAAAATAAAATCACAAAGCATAGGTCACAAGGCAAAGTCATGAATAGAGATCTAAAAATAGAGTGCTGCATGGATGACTCATTTTTGTAGGCCAAAACCAAAGCCTCTTTAGGGCAAGTCATTTCACTCGCATTTCCGGTTCCATCAAAATTGGGGTTTTTTGAATGGGTTTTTGGTTAAATGCCTGAAATAACGTCTCTGGTGAACACAAGCTCAAGATATTTTCACATTTTATTCTACAACATAAAATTCACCAGTATCACCCTCTTGTGTGTTTTTTAAAGCTTTTATTTGTCTTGAAAAAGGTGGTTGTTAACAAGTAGATAATTGGGACTACAGAGGTTTTCGTGGATATTAAACATCATCAAACTGAACAGATGAACTCATCTACTCACTAGTCACATTCACAGCCTCATTGTGTTTATAATCAAGCTCTTGAAACTCTTCTAACTCAAACTTTCAGGGAAAAATATTTTTGAATAAAGACTGAGGGTGCATCTCAATCAGCTCCCTAGTTCAGTTGTCAGGGCACTGATCAGGGAGTCGGTCATTTTAAGGGCTGTCTCAATCACAAAATCCTTCCAGTGCACTAAAACCTTCGCCCTTTGAAAAATCCCACAATGCAACGCAAAAAAAAGCATCAATGTTCACTATGCCCCCTTGCCGAATATTACATCACATTTCTGAAGCACAAAACATTTTTTTTATTGATTGAAAGAACATACAAAATACCAAGTAAACAACAGTAAGAAAAATCTTAATACAATTCCAAGAAGTCCAAATAGCAGCATAACAAAGAAAAATATATAAACAAAATAAAAATAATTAGAACATTAAGAAAGAAAAATAAATAAATACAGAAATTAAATTAAATCTTTCTGGAA